AGCTCACTACTAACATGTCCACAAGAAGAGCAGCTTTTACTCCTGCAATTGCATTGTACATGTACTGGCTAAAACACTTCCCTCGGGTGGATGTTGGCAAACCACACAATAGTTTAGTATTACTGAGGATCTTTAATCCGGACCATGGAGGCTAGCTATATAGTCCAAGTAAGTTGGATGCTCACAAATACAAAGTAGTGATGGGGAGTAACTTGCAGTATATGAAATCTACTTAAGTATATGCTAGTTCTCCTCTACTCTGGCAATTAACTATCTCTCGAGATCAGGACTTAATTGAGTAAAGCTGTAGCTTAATGATATTTAGTTTTACCATGTTGATTCTTCAAACTCTACTCCTAAGATTTTGAAATTTCATTATATTTATTCCCAAAAGAATTCATCTTGATAGGCTTGCAACCTTGGGATCCATCTTCCCAAAGGGACCCTATAATGGTAGGAGAACTTAGTTCTATATCACAGAATGTATTTCTAAGGGTAGGATAACTCTGGTCCGATAGTAGGATAACTCTATCCAGACTTACTGTCACTTAATTCTTGATAACTTTCCAATAAGCATCTACTAATCAAAAACCCACTCTCAGACAATAATCACAATACTATTATTTTTAATTCACCAGCTAGCTTGAGATTTTGAATATATATCTACTAGCTTAGAAAATATTTTTCAAAGTCTATTAACCTCTCTAGCATCCTCTATATGAAAAAAAGGTAAAATTTTCAAAATCTACATTGAAGTATATAAAATAACTTCATCTTCTCATATATAAGTACAACTAATAATAATTACTGATTCTTAAGTAGTTATGGAGTTATTTGACTTTACAGTTAGCCAATCTACTGATTTTTGCTGATTGCATCAAACTAAAAGTGGCCATATCTTAAGACAGTTTTCTTGGGTCTCTTTGGTTGCAACACATTTTTCTGCCCCTAGTAAAAATGTCCAAGAGTCAGGTTTTAATTGGCACTGGCTCAAGTTAACTACTTGGATTACCCTACCCAGTAGGGTAACCACAATCCTTACTAGTACCTAAGTCCTCTAGTATGGAATAGCATGTTCATCTTCTTTTCCTAACTAACAGTTTCTCAACTCAGTAGAACCTTCTGTACCACCATTCCTACCAACATTGTCTCTTGACACCGGTATGGGTACAGGTTTAGTTAACAGTACTAGCACTTTGTAAAGTCTTGTTACAAGAATGTAAGATAAATAGTTTACTGCTATAGTATTAAAATGAGTACTTCATCAGCATACAAAACAGACTATTAATCTACAAATTATAGTGTCAAGTAGATCTTCTTTATGCCATTAAACAGTGGGTATAAACTAAGTGTCAGTTGCAAAGCATTAGCATGTAGGCCAAAGTAGTCAGGAATTAGTCTAAAGTTAATATCAGTAATGTCCTAGTGTACAATGTAGGTTATAGTTCTACAGATAATCATATCTAAAAATAATCTTTAAACATTTAAAAAGCTGATGTTAAGTAAGTCTAGGTCACAAAGTATCTACTTGCATGTTAATATAGTTAGGATAAAATCTAAACTCAAAGTCCACACTTTACAAAGATATAAAACAAGTTGTATCTTCTTGGAATATCACAGAGGGTACAATTTCTTTCCTTTCTTAAAATTGTGAAATTTAGTAAAACATTGTTGTAAATTATCAACTCTGAATGTATTGAAATTGATGCAGAATATTAGTCAACAAACGTATTGTTGATCGTTTGACAGTAATATTATATGGTTGGAATTATGATAAACATGTCTGAAATTATGCAAATAAAGCCACTTCCCAAATGTCTTGGTGAATAACTTAGTAAGCAGCCCAAGGGTGCAACTCACTACAAAAACAACAACACAACTGTGAAAGCTACAGTGAACATTATGTTATGATGATTTTTTAAGAGAATATAAAATAAAAGATACTGAACTGCATATATGCAGATACCTCATTCCTCCTAAGTTATTAAAAAGAACAAACACCAAGACAAACCACTGTGAGATGACCAATACAGAATAAGGAAGAATAATAGACCTCATTTGGATATTTGAGCAGATTGAAATAGTAGCAAAACTGGTTTACCGGCCTTGGTCAACATTCAGAAATTTTTTTGTCTAAGCATTAGAAAGGCAGTATTAATAATCTACTCCATTCCAATTGTCCCAGGAAGCTGCGTGAGTAAGATCCTCACACAATATTGTGTGAAGCACAAAGACTATGGGATTGGACTTGGCAAGAGTTGTGTAATAAATATATACCTCATGTTTTACTGTATACAATTCATAGAGTTCTGAAGTAGGAAGGAGTACGAAAATCGTGAGCAACTAAAAGAGCAAAATTAAGCTCCGAGCATTCAAGAAAGTGATTGGAGTGGGCAATTGTGTGGAGTGTTTGGACAATAGAGCAGTTTAAAGATGTGATATGAAGTAATGAGTACTCAGTTAAACTTGGACGTGATCATTGGCAAATGTGAATCTTTAGACACTAAGATGAGCATTGGCTTCCAGAATATTTGAAGGATGTAGGAAACGGGAAAGAGGTTACCTTAATGGTTTGGAGTTGTTTCTGGGGTCACAATCAGGGTACCTTTGTACTACTTATTATGCTATCAGTGGATCTTCAAAACTATTAATGACACTTTAGAGACAAGTATAATACTGGTTCTGGAAAGGGTTTGTGATACATTCATCAATTCAGTTTTTCAGCAAGACAATTCTCCAATCTATCCAGCTACCATTATTCAGGGATAGTGCAATGCTAACAATATTGCATTAGACAATCATCCTCACTGCTTACCTCTCTGGAAATTCTATTAAGCATGTCTGATTAAATCATGTGATCACTAAGACTTTTGGGTTGTAGCTTTATACAAGTCACTACCCACCCCAGCAGTTATAATTCTCACTTACCTTCACACTCTAAAGGTTCTCCATTTTCACTCTAAGATTTATCTAGAGACTAAAATAGTATTTAGTACCAGTATTCCCTATTTCTTTAAATATCGTTAGATTTAGTCCTAGTATCTACTTGATATACTGATGACTAGTATGTAGCTTGTATCCAAGGCTCAGATTATGCCACAGGATAGCTAGGATTCTGGGTTTATAATTAAGACTGGCTTCAGTCTTATATCAGGACATTGACAAGAATCATGGTTGACTGAGACAAAGCTGATGTTGAAAATTTGCATGTTCTTACTTAGTATATGCTGCAAATGCCCAGTACACAACCAGATACTCAAGATACTCAGGAAACAAGCAGTATAAGCAACTTAATATTTGCATCTAGATAGGTGGCTGACATATAGGACATAGAGTTATGTTTCACTGATGCACGATAGTTTCCCGGAGTTGAAAACTAATTACCTGTAAAATTGAAACGACAGAATTTGTATCTAGTATTAGTTGTCATGTTCTCTTGTATATCTAGCTTCATACTGGAATTTACATTAATTTCATACTAGTTGTCGCCGTTATGAACAATACAGACAGCTTTAATTCATTGCACTACTGCTTGAAGAACTTGGAATAGATAATTATTCCCTAGCTGGTAAAACAATTTGGGGTACCTCCACCAGAGCGCGATTGAGAATTGTCTGTTTGGAAATGTCCATGTTTGGTGTAAAATCCATCTTGGATGAATTCATTTGTCCCCACATCGTACCACTTCTGAAAACTTGTATTCTTATGGATTACTTCACCCTCTTGTTAAGTCTCGCCTAGAAGTGTGGCTCGGAGAGCCATTGGGTGCAACTAGCTATCGTTGAATCCTTCCAGATACGTGGGAAGCATGGAATATAGCAGAGGGTCACTTTAAATCCGGAGGCAGATCTCTTTCATCTAACTAGAATTATTATTTTTTGCTGATGGGTCTGGAACTCATAACAAACTAGCAAGGGAACTAGATACGGGGGACAATGTCTACCAACGCAAAACCAGAAAACTAAAAAGCTAGTTGAACCAGAACTATAAGCAAAATTAAGATAGTCAAGATTTGAAAACCAGTTAGTAGTAAACAATAAACAAGTATTTCGTTTTAAACAAACCTAATTTTTAGCATCATAAGCGATCACTCAGTCGTCCATGTACCTGGCCACGAGGGCCGGTTTTGATTGTCCGGCGCCATATGATATCATACAGCAGTCCGCTAATGCACTGCATGCAACCGTGAGCACAAGAAATCATCAAAGATTTCAGGAGGCGAAGGAGGCCATCTCTTAGCAGATGGACCCTTGCTTCAACAGCCACCCACCTCCGCCCCCGCTCGCAGCAACACAGGTCGTAGGGTTCTAGGGGTTGTCGAAAGCCTGACGATAGATACAGCGATGATATTTCGCGCTATAATACCAGGCCATTGCAATATCCACCGCACCTCCTCCGGCGAGAGGTGTTAACTATGGAAGAATCGATATGATTCCTAGATCCGTGTTTGCCCGGCAATCTGGGTGAACCCAACCGCTCGAGTGCCCATACAGTTGCCGGCAGGAAACAGCGGGGCTGAGGAGCGGTATCGGCTCGTTTAATGATATCAGTCCCCGTGCACAATACCACTCCTGCTGTATGCAACTATCATTCTCCATAAACGGCCTCAGCACCCAACATCCCCATCCCACACAAATACCCAGACATAGCTCCATTCCAGGCGCAACTCAACCATACCCTCCTTTCAATAGTACCAGATAGCGGGCTGTCTACAATCCTTATCCCACCCCGCCGTGCAACCCAATTGCTGGGTACTCGAGTGCGAGGTGATGATTAGTCCCGCAAATTCACTCGACATATCCATACATGTGCCCTCCGCGCGAGTAATTAACGAGTATTTCCCCACAAGAATCGGAAGAAGCGAAGGAATAAGAAATGCTTGCTCGCAATTTCACTGCAGTACAGCACCCGAGCACGACACTAACTAGTGCTCGAGTGATACCACATGACAGTGTTCATCACGGCACATTAGGACAAGTATGATATTTTCCAGACACTACAATTCCATGCCATACCGTAACTTCCCGAATACCCGCCTCCTATACCCACTAATATAATACACTTCGAAAAATAAACAAGAAAAAGAGAACGCCCAAAAATTTCCGCCAAACAGCGGGTATCGCAGATTGTACAAACGACGAGAATAAAAGAAAAGGAGGAAAAGAAACAGGTCAAGTATTGCCTATTCATGCAAGACCGTGGGTTCCAATGAATAGTTAAAGAGGAAATAAGATTGAGGGGATAGGGGGAGGGAGAGATTATTCGGACACAATTGCGAGTGTAGAAGAATGAATAATATTGGAGGGGAAATGAAGGATAAAGGGAACGGAAGATGGGAGCAAACGAAGAGAAGACTTCCCATCCCCATGCTCCACCAAAGTAAAATGAAAAGGAAAGGAAAGAAGAAACGGGGGGGCACTTCCCGTAAAACATACACACATACGACCAACCACCCGCTAAAAACCGAACCAAACCAGATCAGCAACCGGACCCACCCAGCCTCCCAAGGTAGTAGTACACGGAACCAGAGAAAAAACCAAGCTACCGATGACCAAGAAGCTGGATGAGATCGTCGTCGTCGTCGTCGTCGTCGTCATCGTCACTATCATCCTCTTCCTCGCCATCCTCCTCAACAGCTTCTACCCCGCCACTACCAAAATCACCCAGGTCATCATCGTCATCATCGTCAATGTCCGTAAAGTCCGCACTATCTTCAGTCTCCCACCCATCGTCAATGATTAAGTCTTCCACTCCATCCAACTCCATTATTGCCTCTCCCGCGGCCGCGATAGCCCTGCTCGCATTTGCAAGCGCAGCCTCACCTTCGGCCGGAGCCAGACGGGGTGGAGAATTCGCTTGACCTCTAAGTAGGGGATTCAAGGATGTCGTTCTCTCGGAAATACGCGGGATAGCAGATGGAGACACAACACCCCCGCCGCCATCCGAACCGTCTTCCGGACGGAGGACACGTATCTGGTTGGTGTTATAGGACCTGCAATTCTCGCACTTCAGCCCTAAGAAGTGGAAAGGCACATTGCTCTTGGCCGAGCAGTCGTTGCAGCCAATAAGGGAGCGCCAGTTATTGTATGGCTTTAGGAGAGGCTGTGTCTCTATCTCTAGGTCTAGAGCACGGAAGTGACTTTCCATGTTTATGATTGTGCGTGCGCATGTAGGGCAGCGATATGATGTCTTCATGTGATCGTAGTAGCAGCTCTGATGTATCGAATGTCCGCATGTCTGTTTATTTTCACAATGGAGGTTAGGTTCGTCCGGGGATTTGCTAGCTAAAAATTAGAGCGACAAACCATAAATACCACAGTTTGAGTGGAAGTGAACATATATTCACCACAGATAGGACAATCGCATTCGGTCGACCTTTCAATACATCTATGCTCCCCCTCCAATGAAATGGACATGCACACACCGCACTTCTATTCTCAGTCAATTATCACGCGCGTCCGAAAGTATGAATAGCGGTTGAATGCGCACCTTGCAATGGAAGAAGTCCTTCCCAAGCCCCTTTCCTATTCGACAGATGCCACAATCATTGCAGTGGTATATGCTCTTGTCTGGATCATCATCCCACAGTTTGCACTAGCATACGTCAGCGCTTTTCGGCTCTTGGAACTGGGAGCAACAATTCCACACGCGAACAAAGATGAACAAGGATTCCCCAAGGTACCCGGAAAGAAGAGAGAATGCAAACCTTATCGCAGTAGTATCTAGAGCTCCTAACACCGCAGTGCCTGCAGTCCTGTTGCGCCGACTGAGCCCGGTCACAGTGCATGCAGAGCATATTTTTGGTCTCCCTCCTGATCAGGCTGTGATCCTGATCTTCGTCATGGCAAAACCTGCACGTATACCACTTTTCGCATGTTGAGCATTGAAGCTTTACACCTCGGCGGTAATGCGAGCAACCAAGCTCCAAAACCCCGCTCTCGGCCGCTTCAGAGCCCGTATAAAAGGTTCTCGCAAGATCCGCAGGCGACAGCTTGTATGGGTTGTCTTCAAGTAGTAAAATATGGCCGCTGGCATCGGTAGTCGGGGCGCTATTTGGTAGAGTGGATCCCGAGTTGACCGCATCTGTAGCCCGGCGTAACGCATTGTATTTTTCGGTCATGAGAAGATGCATCCTTCTCGCCCTTTCCCGTTCGCTAATTTCCATGTTACTAATCTCCACCAGTTTCCGACGTAATTCCCTCTGCCCATCATCCTCTGGTAAGACGAAAGGTTTGGCGGTATTGCTTTCTGGCCCGAGGGCACTCTGTTGAGCTGTAGAAACGGCAGGACCTTCTGACGATGGCATTGAAGGTGGAGCTGGAGGCGATGGCGGCGGTTGCGGTACGGGAACTGGGGAAGGGGTATTATGGGGCATATTGGGTGCAGAATCCATACTCGCAAATGGGGGTATGCTCGTCGATGGGTTAACGGCTATTAATGTCGTCTCGGAGTCAGTATCCTCGGAGTCGATATCGATCGCTTCGGAGACAGAGTCCAAGACCTGAGGACGAGTAATCGGAGTTGTGGGAGCGGAAGGTGGGCCAAGTGACTCTTCGGTGGCAAGGGCAGGAAGCTCCTCGGCAATGGACGACTGTGACCATCGACGGGCCCGCTCGACCACGGGAGCAATAAAGCGGATGGCGTAGGTAGCCATCGGGGGATCTGATGGTACACAACCCCTCGAAGCGAGATGAAGAGGCCGGAAGCAACCGAGGAGGAGGGCAAAAGGGCAAAAATTAGAAACAAAGTGAAGAAGTGCGGACAGCGATGGTGCTGTGGATGTGAATAAGAGCAGAGGGCGAGGGGGAGACTATGGACGAGGTGGAATCGCAAAGGGCGCCAGGAGCAGCAAGCAAACAAGCACTGTAATTAGTAACAGAGCATGTTAACACCTCCCGGAGAGACGGAGATGGCTTGTGACATTTATTTGTTCTGTCCAGACCAATCGCATGCGAGGGTCTCATACAAGGGTCAGGCATTAATAAGTGGTACTGAGTCCATGCGAGACACGGAAGTAGTGGAACAGAATGACTTGAAGGAGACTTTGACATCAGATCCAGGGTCTATCTGAACAATGATATAAAAACTATTGAAACACTTCTGACGAAGCAATACTGGCCCCAAATGGCTTTATATAGGGCTCAATCACTTTAGTTCCTATCATGTACATTATGGATAGAAATCAGGAAGCGGAGAAGCAACTTGGGGATGGAAAATAGAGGGATAGAAATGAGCGGGGGTGATATGTTGAATGAGGGGCAACAAGTGGTGAAAACAATATTGTTAGTAGTTCTTGCGAAGACTCAGAATAGATAAAGAGATATATATCTCCAACATACTAACAACTTAAAGAAATACACAAACTTGAGATAACATGATCCCATGCAACCTCTTGCAATCTACAACCATCCTGATATCTCATAATCCTTTATACCCCCTCAATCCAGTATCCTCAGGTGATGCCAAATACTATATACCAAATAGCATATAGTGTAAAGAAAACAATATAAAACCACCAACTCTTATGTTATACCGGGGCCTACTGGTGTAGGATTTGAAAGAACTAAATGCCCTCTGCCTCCATACCACAAATTATAAAAACTAGCATGTGCCCAATAATTGCATATTTGCCTAACAGTATAATTGTATATCTACGAAGTCCCATACTGTAAAAACTCGAATAAACGGACGATGTACCAGGTAGTTCAAAATTTCCTCCTCTGGAATAGGGGCAGACAACATACCAAAAAAAACCCGCCTTCAAGACAAATAAAAAAGAAAAAAAAACAGACCTTACTGGAAGAGACAACTGCAATGTGCTAGTACATAGTCTGTTTATTCGAGTTTTTATGATATTTCACTGGCAATCTGATGAAGAGGACGGGCAGTCCAAGACATAATGTAGAAAATGTTATCATAGTTGAAAAAATCAAAACAGAGGAGAACAAAAGCTAAAGAGACAGGAAAATAGAAATTAGAATCTCGTATGCCCACCTTGAGCAGTAAGGACAGCTTTAACTCTAGTTGTTATGCTGGTAAGAAGGGCGTTGAGATCATGAGAATCAATCGCTTCCCATTCTTCTTGAATAGCAGCTCACATGGTATTGTATTTTTGAGGTCGTGGATGACGGGTATTAATTTACACCTTTATCAATCACCAAATTCCTTCAATAAGGTTAAGGTCTGGAGATTTCGAAAGCCAGGGAAACAGGTAGTAGTATAAGCCTTTTGTCCTTAAAACCTGAGTAATATATTTCGCAGTGTGAACTGAGACACAATTCTGCAGAATATAAACAAAGTCTTCCGTCTCGCGGGAGACCTCATACCAGAATCGTTCAAGGTGGGGAAGAATATGATTACAGTATAGCTTTGCTGTAATCCTTGGACCCATCATTGCCTTATCCCAAAGGATTAATGGACCAAGGTGGCAGCTACAAAAACATCCCTACATATGAATTGTCTCCAGTTTAGCAAACTTAGGAACAAGGCAAGTGGAGTCATACTCCTCAGATGCCTTTGGGGTCACTTAAACTCAGCCTGGAGAGCCACCAACGTTGAATGTGGACTCGTCCACTCAAATAACCTTGCTCTAGTCCTCCTGTGCCCCCCTGGAAACCTTTCAGCCTACTCAAGCCTATTCTGTAAAGAGGGTATTAAGTTAGCAGTGGAAACAGTTAATAAAATCTCTTATACAATCACAGCTTGCTATCCCAGATGACCAAAATCTCTGCTGAAATAACAGAACAAGTTTTGTTGTAAAAATATTTTGAATCTACAGCAATTTATAAAAAATAGCAAGGTATTCATATTATTGGAATTTGGGACAATGGGGTTTGACCATATTGAAGATGATTAACTAATATAAAAAAAGACTTACTGATATATGCTCGGAGTTCAAAAAAGGCTTCTTTCTCGCTACCTGACGGTGGTATCCATCTAAAGCAAGTAAACGCTGAAGTGTTTTACTACAAGTCTGAATGTTAGAGATGTTGGCAATTTCAGTAAGTGGCTTTCTCCAATTTTCTGCCAATTCTGTAATGACATCCAAGAGATTGTATCGAAGTTCTGGTCCCAGGATCCAAGGTCGGCCATGGGTTTTTTTCTCCTCTATGTATTTTTACTGTGCTGTATGGTAGACAGTACCAAGTGGAAGGCCCACTCCTATAGCAATCTTCCGATAAGGCCAACCAGCACTATAGCACAGGGCACGTATGTGTACTCCAACCACTCCCAAGACTCGGCATTTGGATATCTCTATGCCTTTAATGGAGTTTGGGGGAGGCTCTAACTCATCACCGGCTATAGTTACTGAGGAAGAAAAGGTAGAGGAGGTAGAAGAAACAGCTGAGAATGGTACAGACTCAGGGAAGGATGCTAAGGAGTCTTGAGATAATGAAGAAGTAAAGACGAGAGCAGAGGAGTCAGACTCAAGGCTAAGATCAGAAGAGGTAGAAGATGAAAACTGGGAAGTAGTGGAAATCGAGAAGGAAGAGTAAGATAAACCATATTCAGAATTGATATCAGAATGCAAATTGGAATTGGAATTGGAATTATTATTGAAATCATATGCAAGATTGACTGATGTAAGAGTATCTAACTCGGTAGCTGATTCGGAGGCAGGATCTTCAGGAAGATTATTCCAGGATGAAGAGAGAGAGAGAAAGTGGGCTTAATTCTGCTTGTATTGAATTGGCACTCGTACTGGCTTAGAGAGGTGGGGAGTTGAACCCGTCTGAGTTGTGGGATAGTATTGCTGATACTACTGATAGTAACACTGGGATAGGAAGACTTGTAGCTCTGAAAGTATGAGCAATACGTTGAGGCATTCTTGACAAAAATGGAATGTAAAAGTTGAAGTTCAAGTTGCTGGAATTTTACTACTTGATTCTGGATCTCGTAGTACTAGTATATATGTTACTTTATCAAGCTCTTCGGCTGTATGGGTTAGCACATAACTGAAGCAATTTTGGTTTTCTCTATGGGCTTTACTCTGCTTCTGTCTGTTTTCCTTTTTTTCTTACACTATAGTACTTGTAATTGATTTTGATTTTTTCTTGCTTCATTAATGTTGATTCAGTGGTCACGATGGTGTTGTTTCTCAGGAGTTGGATTTTATGCTGGTTAGACGAAATGTCTTAATTTGTCATAGTGTTCCACATTTTTGTCCCAGCTCATTTTCACTCAGTTTCACAGTACCATTATTTATTGCCAGACCCTTGTACTTGGCCGATTCCAAGGTCAACGGAAATCTTGGCACCAACTGTCGAGTCAAAATGTGAGAGATTTATCCACTCATGTCTACACAACTTGCTCAAGTCTACACAACTGGCTTGCCATACCGCGATCTTGCATTCTGGGTATATTGGCTATTCTGAACCAAGGTATGAGCTGCCAAAAACTATCGTGGAATGACACTCCTAGAATTACAGAATTGATAGGGAACACATATTTCAATTTACACCATTGATTGCGTTTTTCAAGAAGTCAATATAACGAAGTGACTTGCACAAAACTGTGCTAAATTCTATGAAAGACAAGGTAAAGCATGACTGGAATGGGCAATGGCACTAACAAATTGGACTGTAGAAGACTTCTAGGACATACTCTATAGTGGGAAGTGTATAGTACACAACTCTGCAAATTCTCAGTGCATTTGGATGTTTCAATACTACATGAGAAGTGGCTATTCAATGACATTCTGTTTAGAGAAAAAAGAGCAATGAGGTAAGGCTAATAGTATGGTACTGCTTTTGGTGAAAGTACCAAGGCCCTCTAGTTACAATAAGGGATGTTACTGTAGCTAGGCAAGTCTATAGTAGGCTATTAGATGCCCATTTAGAATCACCCATGTGGGATATCTCAGATGAGGTGGGAGATCCTCTGTTTTAATAGGACAAAGCAAGGGTTCATACTGCTCACGACACCATTGCCTGACTGGTTGAGAACAGAATCAATTTAGAAAACTACCTTCTACTTTTACCAAATCTTACCCCAATGCAGCATGCATGGGGGGAACTGAAACAGCAATTGGATAAACAGTACTCAAATATCCAGAACATCCCCAATGGTCCAGAGAGTATTCACAATCGTTTACCTGAGGTTTTGCCACTAGTATCAGAGACTAATTTGGAAACTGTAATCAAGAAGCATTAGAAGTCTATGCTCGCATATGGAGTTGCAGTGATTGAGGCTATGGGGTGGTATACAAAATACTAGTAGGTTTAATGTGAAGAACTCAAAAGAACTTTATCTAGACTTTTTAGATATAGAATTTTCTTTCCTTAATCTAGTTACCTAATACCCCTTCCAAGGGCCTGAACATTGTCTCACTATGGCTTAATTACTGAAACCTTTATCTAGTCACTGTCAGTATGCTCTCTAATCGTAATATATGATACAAATCATTGTGATTGTATTGACAAAACTTAGTAGATAACCATCTAGTACTTGGTTGGTTCCTTCTGTTTGTTCCTTTCTCTGTAGATGATAGGCCTTTGACATCCGTCTTTTAAAGTCTATTACTTTACATATTGATTCCCAGAATTCCTCTGTAAACTTTGTGTCTTGGTTTGAATTGATTTCTGTTAGTAAGCCTTATAGCTTTTACACTTTCTTTAAGAATATATTTGCTACATTTTTGCTACTAGCAGCACCTTGTAATTCAAGAAATTGAACCATATTAGTGAACTGATCGACTGCTATTATAATTTGAGTATATTTTTACTAATCTGGTAGTTATATGAAGTGCAGTGATATGGATGACCATGCTTGAAAAGGAGTTTGGAAGGATCATAATAATTTG